TCCTTCCTTCCTTCCTTTCTTCCTTCTTCCTTTTTATTCTTCAAACAGGGTTTCTCTGTGTAGCTTTGCGCCTTTCCTGGATCTCGCTCTGTTGCCCAGGCTGGCCTCGAACTCACAAAGATCTGCCTGCCTCTGCCTCCCAAGAGCTGGGATTAAAGGCGTGCGCCACCACCACCCGCTATTCTCCACGTTTTCTTGCCTCCTTCAGTATCTGATCTTTTTTTTTAAACAATTATGTATTGAACTCTGAAAGTCACATAAAAAAATGACTTTTCTCTTGTTTAAACAAAGCAAGAAACAGTAAGTCCAAATGAGTAAATTCTCTTTATACAACTTTCTAGTTAAAATAATGTTTTAATAGTTTATGAAATATGTGTGTAACTGAGTACTGCTGGGGCTGCAACTAGCTTAAAAAGATTTATAAAAATCTGGACTCTGCAATAAAAATGGAGCAGCTATACAAAAACTCCCCCCTCCCTTTGCTATTTTACAGTTTGGGACGGGAGAAGTAATCTATGTTTGAAAAGGAATTAGAAAGTCTTGACAATAACAGTACAACATAGAGAATATAGCCTCTTGGAGTTCAAGGCATCAAATTCTAGCTGTAATAAATACTTACATACTTTATGACATACCAATTAGTTAATTCTCTATACCTCTGTTTCTTGATCTATAAACAGAGGAAAAAATAGAAGCTACCATACAGAACTGATAATGAGACCTTTTGCTTGAATATGGTCTCCATATGTAGGCCAGGCTAGCCTTGAATTCATGATCTTTGCATCTCAACCTCATGAATGATGGGATAACAGGTCTATAGCACCATACTCAGAAATTAATTTTTAAATAAGCAATAAGTAGCTTAGTGATAGGAAGAGAGAACAAGGACCCAATAAAGAAATGGGTGACATTAACTATTAACAAAGGTAATGCAGTATTGCCAATCAAGTGACCTTAATCACTCTTTAAATAGACCTCTTAACACGAATTTAAAAAAACACAACTAATTTATATTTTGCATGTAATTCACTGAAATACTGTGAATTAAAATAATCAGCATCTATATTCTTTGTAATAATCATTATGTATATAAAAGTCTAATGCCCATATGTTATTAAAATGCCTCAAAGAAAGCAAAATACTCTGCAGTTTGCATGTATGCTTCATACTCAGAGTATCTGATCATCAAGATGTCTAATTTCTAACACCAAAGACAGCCCATCAAACCTCTTATTACTATAGAGCACTTTGTTAACAGACACGCAGACCAATAGAATACAACAGAGAACCCAGAAACACACCCGTCAGCTGTGGCCCCTGACTTTGACAAAGAAGTCAAAAGCACACACTGGAGAAAAGGCAGTCTCTTTAATAGTGCTGGAGAAACTGAGTCTCCACCTGGAAAACGGTCAAAGGTGATTCCTATCCCTCACCCTCTACAAAAACAGATGAGAACCACTTTAAGGTATAGGACTAGGCAAGGACTTTCTGATGAGTAGGACTGCATGACATTATAAAGTTTCTGTACAACAAAGCACTTACCAGAGTAAAGAGCCTACAAAATGAGAAAAAAAAAAATCTTTCCCAGCTATACATCCAACAGAGGATTAATGCAGAAAAGCAAGCACACAGGAACAGTAATGCTAATACAATCAACAAATTGCCAATGAATTGATCAGACAGTTTTCAAAAGTACAAATGGCCAAAAGTTACTTAGAAAGGTTCAGCATCCTCAACAACCAGGGAAACACAAAACTTCAGTGAGAGTCTTATTTAACCGCAGCCAGAATGGCTGTAAGCAAGATACCAGGGAGTATACACCAAGGGAGGAATCCATCTAACTGCTAATGGGAATGGGAATCTGTACGGCCACTATGGAAATCTGTATGGAGATTCCTCAAGAGACTGAAAATAGAACTATAATATGATCAGACTATACCACCCTGGGTATAAATATACAAAGGAATCTAAGTCAGCATATCACAGACAACCTGCACATGTGTTTATTTCAGCACCATTTTACTGAAATTTAAAATCTTATTTATTTTATATGTACATGTATAGGTATGTAGATTTAAGTGTGCCACAGTGTATGTGTGAAGGTCAGAGACCAACTACTGGGAATCAAGTCTCTCCTTCCACCATATGAAACACAGGGACTGAACTCAGGTCACCAGGCTCAGCTCGGCAGTAAACACCTTTACCCACTGAGCCATCTCACTGGCTCTATCGTAACCTTATTCACAATACCCAAATTGAGGAATCAGACCATATGTCCATCAACATATGAACAGATAAAGAAATGTGATGTACATCAACAATGTAGTTTGGTTCATTCATAAAGAACTTTGGTATTTTAGCGAAGTGGATGGAACTGGGGATTCTCATGTAAAACAAAGCAAGTCAGACCCAGAAGACAACCATCGCATGCTTTCTCTTGTGCAGAATCTGGACATGAAAGTGGAAGGGGAACTATCTGAAAGAGAAAGGTAACCAGCATGGTGGAAAGGCAGGCTAAAACACGGCAATCAGGCAAAGCACAAGACGTACATGTGTGAGACCCTTAAACTTTGTATAATGAATATATACTATTTTTAAAAAGAAAAGAACCTGGCTCAATACACACATCAACCAAATACTGCATGAAGCTTACCTATCTTCATCTTTGTCATAGAGTTGGTAATAATCTCCACAGCCATTCCAGAAGGAATTATCCCGAGCTTCTGGCCTTCCTGAAGCTGTGGCTCCATTTTCTGATGTTGCACGATTATGTTCTGCTTCCCTTCGTGCAGCTCTTGAATAAGGTGGAGTCAAGAACATACAATCTTGTTCTACATCAGGGTCGTCATACTTCATTATAGGGTCATCTGCACTACATTCCTCAACTTCTAAAGCCTCTCTCCATCTCTGAACACTTCTTTGTTTAGCCTCATGCCTATTAAAACCAATTTCTTGGTCCACCTGGCTTGAACTTATCACTTTTCTAACTTTGGGCCTTACTACCTGCTCAGGAGAACTTGCATGGTGGTTGGCTCTACCACTAGTATTCTGTTCACTACAAATATGTCCTGGGACACAGTCTACGTCTTCAGTTGAATTTTCTGTCTGTCTTCCCTCATCAGCATTACCTTGTTGCCTCTTTCTAACAATGCCATCTTCAGAAGACCTCTGAAATTCCTGCCCATTCTGATGGAGAAGCTCAGCATCACCAGTAGAACTGTTCTCTAAAGGTGCTGGATCTAGCTCTTCAAACTCATCACTTATTTCACAGTTGAGAGAGGGAACTGATGATGAAAGATCAGCGTACACCTCTGCTTCTCCATTTCCCAGCTCAAACACTGTACTGCCTAATACTTCCTGACATCTACCACCTTCCACAGCTTCTGCAGAGAGTTGAAGAGAGTCATTCTTCTCATCATGTTTGCTGTCTGGATTATTCAAGTCAGTAGGAACCAACACAATTCCATTCTGGACACTTGAGACCTTACAGACTGATGGAGAATAATACTCTGCCTCAGTGTGATTATGATGATCCGCATTGCTTTCTAAAGTCTCCCTGACTTCCTCACTAGGACATACTGTGGCAATGGATGGACTGCTCTCAGTGGTTTGATTCAGTGCTGGACCACAAGTGGAAATTTCTGTTTCACTTTTTTCAAATGTAGGTTCATTGAGTAAAGAAGGATGGACTTGATCCAGTGAATTGGAACCTTCATAAAAAGAACAGAAGAAACCATTTTGGAGGGACTAATTTAGATAAAATTTTATATAATATCAGTTCCATAAGAAATCATTCTCGGTTTGACAATATGCCAAGTGCTTTTATATTCCCTAACTTTACTACAGTCAGACTGGTTACACTGCGAACTCAGTTCTGCCCCCTGGACAGCCTCTCATTACTCTCTCCTTGTGCTTCTTTTACAGATTTTTTTTCTTAAACCTAAGTCCCAATATCAAAATCTGCTTTCTGACCGCCCCCCCCCAAAGAAGCTAATAGAAAGCTACATAATGAGAAACAAAAGCAGTCAGAATAATCTAACCTCTAACTACTCTCCAATTCTACCTCTTAATTATACAATTTTAAAAATTTTAGTGTTAATTAAAAAATTACATCTAAGGTTCTAGACATGCATCAGATTTCTGTGCCCAAAATATATTGTTAATACATTTATAATTTAGGTATTAGAGATACAACTGAAAAAAAAGTGAGTATACTGATTCAATTTGCCATACTTTGTTAGAATTCTGACACTTAAAGCCATATCTTTAATTATTTTAAACTTTATCTTTTATTATAATTAATTTCACAAAGATATTGAGATTTGTTATAACCAAATGCATAAATCATAAAATACATGAAATTTAATCTTACAACAGAAAAGGTTCTTTATTGGAATCACTTAGCTATCAATTCAGAATCTGATATACAAATGACAATAAAAATATTCTAGAATTATCCAGTTTACTTAGAACCAGAAAAATGAAACTAGTTTATATATATATATATATATACATATATAAATATATATACAGATATATACATAAATATGTAAAATCTTCTCGTTTAAAAAACATAGTTTTATAAAACATAACTATGTAACTATGGTATAAGAAATCTGTATATAACATTTCAAACCACTGAATAATTAAGAAGGTTTAACTGAATAACTAATACCAGATATTTTACAAAATAAAGAAAAATAAATAAGCTAAGCTAAACTATTTAGAGGAAGTTAAAAGTTACTTAAATATAGTATGCAGGGAAAAACATTCTCAGTTCACAGGAAAGATTTGGCATGGTCTATCTTCCCAAGTAAAGCATTGAGAACAAATCCCTCAACTCTCCTAGGTCTTGTAAGGACAGCAAGGCTTGTGAGTGGAAAAGTAATATTCAGTCACTTCAGCTATAAAGGCAAATATAGATGAGATTTAAAAATGGAGTTAGCTGATGGATGTGACTGTGTGATCATTACCATAACAATTAGTTACCTTAGTGACTGGCCATATTGAATCTTCTCTATTTAATGTATATGGTACTTCTATTAAATTCAATAAAAAATTCCAAATAGAAAATGTACTATATTTAGAATCAAAAATATGAATTTTAAAATAATAGCCTTTAATTGACTCCATGTTACATACCTGAGGAATTTTCCTTTGGAACATCATCTAGTTCCAATACTTCATAGTCATCACCAGCCCGACCTAAGCTTCTTTCATGCCTGGTCATACATGGCTTAAAACTGACATAAGCATGTCTTCTTCCGTATCTCCTGCCTGTAATAGTCTGATATCCTCCTGCTGGTTTAGGCCAAGCAGCTTTGTTGGATTCTTGATCCATTACTGAAAATATAAATTAAATTAAAGAAGGTCAGCAATGACCTTCACTATGGCAACAAGTTGGGGGAAAAGTGCTTCCACAAGTATGCTATTATTTACTAAACTATATACCACTGAACAGGTGTCTTGTTTAAATGGTGTAGAGATGACAAGAAACAACTAAATAGTTATGCCCTGAAGCCTAGGGTCAGATTAAATTCTCTAAAACGAAATAATCACAGGAGAAATCAAATACATGCTATTCCATCTTCTAAATTACAAATGGCTATTATAAATTAAGAAAAGCCACCAGCATTTAAACAACTTGAATATTAATTCACCTTTTACTAAACAGTACAGTATTATATGCAAATATACTAAATTTGCTTAGTCAATTATTATATAATCTATGTAAGAATAGGGTATTTCCTCACAGTACACAGTATAATTAATAAATGAAAGTTTTCTATTTTTGTTTTGCAATAAAGTAAAACAATCATTTCAAAGTACAAATGACAAACTTGTATTTCTCAAATGCTATCAAGTGTTACACTATTTTTTAATCCCTTCAACAACCTTGAGATGTTAACCACTATCTATTTTAAAAATCAAAATAAATGTTGAGAAGTTAGGCATGGAGATGTATACCTGTAACCCCAGTACTAAGGCAAGGACATGGTAAACTGAAGCACAGCCTAAGCTACACAATGACATTTTATTACAAAAAGGGAAAAAGTATTTTATCACTTGTCTCAATAAGAATCAACATCTTTAACCACTCCTCCAAAAGAACAGCCTCCAAAATGGACATATGATAGAAATGAGGGGGCGTTTTATATTAAGTTAGAAATTAAGGGGCTGGAGAGATGGTTCAGTGGTTAAGAGCACTGACTACTCTTGTAGAGGACCTAAGCTCAATTCCCAGCACCTACATGGTGGCTCACAACCACCTGTAACTCTAGTTCCAGAGGATCCAATGCCCTCTTCTGACCTCCACAAGCACCAGGCACACATGTGGCAAACAGATTTACATGCAGACAAAACATTCATACACACATAAATAAAAATATTTTAAAAAGAAATTAATCTTTACAAATATTAAATAGGTATAGATGACTTAAAATGAGTAAAGATATAAGATCACCTATCAGAGGATATAACACATCATATGTAATGTTCTTCATTTGTCTGTGTTTTGTTTTGTTTTTGAAACAAGATTTCTCTATGTAGCCCTGGCTGGCCCTGAACTCACCAAGATTCACCTGACTGTGCCTCCCAAGTGCTGGAATTCAAAGTGTGAGCCACTATGTCTGGCTTCACATACTCTATCTCAAGAACCCAGGAAACAGAAAGGGAATACTCAATGCAGATGTAGAAGAAGCACCACTCTTCCTTACCTGAGGGCTCTTTTTCAGTGTACTGCGACATAGAGGGCAGCGGCTAGGCTCCCGGTTCAGTAGAATTACGGGTGGGATTTGGTTTTTACTTGTACAGTAAATAAGCTGCAAACGGTTCCTGCAAAGAAACAATGCATTGAACAAAATACTAGGAAGAAAAGAAGAAAACGAAAAATGGCACAATTGACAATAATAGTGAAGATTGTTGACCTTTTATTCACTTACAGAAATGTAACTTGATCTGACAAAAACAACAACAAACAGGCAAAAAACACCCCAAACAATCATATACAGAACTAATTTGTAAGTAAATAATCAAATACATTGTTGAAGAACTGACTGGAAAATGTGACACCGTTAGTTTTTGTGTAATTAGACAGAAACCTAGACATTTGAGAAAAAGGAGCCTCAATGAAGGAATTGTCTATAATAGATTGGCCTACGGGCACATCAAGGAGAATTTCCTTGATTAATGATTGGTGTACAGCCACCTTTGGGCAGGTGGTCCTGGATTGCAAACTGAGCAAGCTGTGGAAAGCATACCAGAAAGTAGCATTCCTCCATGGTTTCCAACTCAGTTCCTGCCTGGAGTTCCTGTCTTGTTTTCCCTCAACAATGGACTGTAACCCGTAAGCCAAATAAACCCATTCCTTCCCCACAGTGCTTGTGGTCATTGTTTTATCACAGCAACAGTGATGAAATAGTAACCTAACTATGGTGGTGTCTACCACACCATGCTATCTTGGCTTTTCCATAGATTCATTTAGCTTTCATTGGCGAAATTCTTAAGCTTAAAAATACAATTCTTACCTTAAAAATGTTTAATGGAAAATTGAAATATATAAATTACACTATGGTGATATTGTGTTCCCCAATATATTGTGCACCCTAATAAATTTATCTGGGATCAGAGAACAGAACAGCCACTAGATATAGAGGCCAGAAAATGGTGGCACACACACCTTTAATCCTAGCATTCCAGAGGCAGAGATCCGTCTGGATCTCTGTGAGTTCAAAGCTACACAGGAAACAGCCAGGCATGGTGACACATGTCTTTAATCCTAGGGAGTGATGGTAGGAAGCAGAAAGGTATGCAATGCGTGAGAACAAAGAACTAGAGCCTGGTTAAGCTTTTAGGTTTTGAGCAGCAATTCAGCTGAGATTCATTTCAGATGAGGACTCAGAGGTTTCCAGTTTGAGGAAACTAGATCAGTTGAGAAATTGGCGAGGTGAGGTTAGCTGTGGCTGGTTCTGTCTCTCTGATCTTTCAGTGTTCACCCCAATACCTGGCTCCCGGGTTTGTTTTTTATTAATAAGATCTTTTAAGATTCATGCTACAGTATACAAGTAATGATGTCCTTATCAATTATGATCATATAATTTAACCCCAGAACCTAATCTAAACCAGTAAAGACTAACACTTATCATTTAACAACAAAAAACCCAATTTCTCAATTTGAAATTAATACATTTACTATTACAGATGTTGAAGATCTTTTTTTAAGTTTAGCAGAAGCTTTTTTCTTATTTAAACACTTAAATATTTGAGCATACAAACTACCACTAATTTTCTACCATTAACACAAACTTATTAGATAAGCACTTTGAAAATGTATTTTTATGCCTGACTACTGTTACTTAAACAGTAGGATACATCAGAGAGCATATATCTATATTCATTTATAAAAATAACAAATATGAGGACATACCATCTTCTAATGTATCTGGATCAAATCAAAGGAGTGTATAAAAATCATAATTTTATCATGCTGTCAAAAAACACAGGTTCTCATTAACATTGCTTTCTTAAGAAAGTCTGAAATAACCTGACTTCACAGATAACTGTGTAGTATATGGCAATCTCTAAGAATCATCACAGATTTAAGTTCACATCACAAATACTTTATCCATATCCAGTCTTCTTAGGACAGGCTACAGTCTAACATGTTCCAAGCACTATTTTCAGAGCTGAGAATATAACAATGAATAAAATGAATGGATGTATCTGCTGACCTAAAACTACAGTACAGAATAAAAATAAGGAATAAATATATGCCATAGACCTTTATCCTAGGTTAAAGAAAAGAACCAAGAGTTATTAAAGGGTGTATTCCTACTAAAGGGCAAATATGGGCTAATGTACTATAAGAAGCCAGAACTACTAATCATATGAGTCTCTTTTCAAGCTATTTTCTAGATTTTTTCTGATCAATATGATAATGTAAACAACAGTACTGGACAGTTCAGATCCCTGTTCTTAGTGGCAGAATATCACACACAAAGCTTTCACTGTTCTAGTATTGTTTCCTTATCGGATACTGATGCATCAAATGACAATTATATTTATCTAAAACATCTCAAATCAAAACCACTCTGGATACTCTGAATTTAAAAGGGGGAGATGAAGGAACATGGTGCAAGAATGGAGACATGTGAGGAGATTTCTGAGTGCTTGTGAGAAAACTCCAAGGAACTAAGACAAGAGTCTTGTGACCTCAGTTTTTTCAAAAACAAGGAACTGTTCTTGGAATATGCTTTCATGCCCCTCCCAGGTATAGCAGATAGAAATGAATTTACTTCAAATTATTCATTACAACTGGCTCTTGTTAATTGTTTATAGGCCTCTAAGGAAAAACATGTTTTTGCTGACTGCAGCTTGTGTCCCCCAATATATTGTGTACCCTAATAAAGCTTATCTGGAGATTAGGGGGGAAAGACATACACTGTATTAAACACAGATGTCAGGCAGTGGTAGCAACACCTTTAATCCTAGCATTCAGGAGGCAGAGATCCATCCAGATCTCTGCACGTTCAAGGCTACATTGGGAACAGAGCCAAGCGTGGTGGCACACACCTTTAATCCCAGCACTAACCATAGAGGTGTGGAGGTCTGTACAGACAGATAGGAAGTAATATAGTTGGGCAGAGAGAGAAAGTGAGATGGCAGAGCAGAAAGGCATACAGGTGTGGGTATACAGGAAGTAGGTCTCTCTGGAGGCTGAGGTATGGTGAGGTGAGGTTGGCTGTGGTTGTCCCATTCCTCTGATCTCTTGGTTTTCACTCCAATATCTGGCTCTGCTTTTTTTTTTTTTTATTAATATGACATTTAGCAATTCGTCTTACAGAACAGCAATTATTTTACTACATTGTGAAAATCTCTTAAACATTCGAAGCTGGATGTGGTAGTACACACTTTTAATCTCAGGCAGATCATTGTGAGTTTGAGATCTGGCTGGTCTACACATCCAATACCAAGGCCAGCAAGAACTACATAGTGAGACACTGTTTTAAAAAAACAAACAAAAAACACAAACTCACAAAGGCTCTCACCATCTTGACCTAAATGCACTTATTTTCAAGGCTCATTACCAGTTATTGTTGTAGTATATTCTGATTGCACATTGAACTGAGATCACTGGTTTGAATCATATTTCTTCCCTGTCCCCCCACTTTCCCTTTAATAGAAGATCCTCAAATAACTATTTCAGAGAATTTATGGAGAAGGCAAACTTTGACTTTTTTGCATGTTATAAAATGTTCTCATTAGTCTATCACCATTTAGTACAGTTAAAAACCCAAACTCATTTTTGTAAACCCTGAAGGTACTATTTCCTAATATACTTATTCCTGTTAGGGAAATATCAAACCAATTTACTACTGCTTCAGTAGGAAAACTACATTTTTCTCTGTGCACTATTTGGGATCTCGTCTTAATAAGCTGATATCCTATAATTTCAAAAGGATGTACTTAGTGGCAGGCTATTAAGATTTTCTCCTTCATAATAATAACTGGGCTATTTTAATTAAAAAACTTCTATCAGTGTCACAAAGACGTCTTTTTTCTTTCCTATTATCTCTATTTGACCAACAGGGACTAACCTTTTGTTTTAATCTTTTGAAACTTTCTTCCATATTTTCATTCTATGGACTAAGACATTTAAATCACTTTCCTTTACTCTGTAATAATTTACAATTAATTGCCTTTATTCTCTTGTTTCCCTTTTCTTTATTACTTTCAATGATGGGTCTTGTGTTAGACAGACTATAATGTCTCTGCATATACCAATTTTCTCTATTTTATCTGATGCCATGATAATCAACTATCTATGACAGTGTTATCTATTTCCACACCCCTCTGGAGTATGAAACCTAGAACAGGGAGAAGAGACATACAAAGATTATAGTTAAGGGTCAAGATGAAATGATTCATTCACCAGTTCTGGGTTTGTTTCTAAAGAAAACAAGGAGTATTTAGTCTCTGAATTTTTTCAATATTTTCCTCCAGAATTAGTATGACTGTGTTCTATTTGTGGTAACTATTCATTCCAAATGCTTTGAGATTTTTATATACGGTTCTAATTAAAAGTGTGTGTTGCTGTAAAGAGGGTCAAGGAAGCATTAGTCTGAAATCTTCCCATTAGTAGCTCAGATACCAACCATCACTTTATCTAAGATATTATGACACTAGCTCCAGAGAAGCTATACAAACAAAAAAAAAAAAAACAAACGAACAAAAACAAACAAACAGAAAACAGAAAGACAGGCATGGGCATGGGACAAAAATGCCTACAGTAAACTACTGAACTTACAATGGCCTGGTTTTATTTTACTTGGAAACACTGTTACATTATCTAAGAGACTATTTTTATTTATCAACTTGACTATATCAGGAATTAACTAAAACCCAAGTGGTTGGGTACAACTGTGAGAGATTTTTTATTTTTTTCTTAAATCATTTGAAGTGGCAAGACCCACTTCTAACATGGATCTTTTGAGGTGGAAAAAATCCACCTCAAATTCTGGGTCATACCTTCTTCTGGCAGCCTATATAAAGGACATGGAAAAAGGAAGCTTGCTCTCTTTGCCTGCTTGTTCTTGCTCTTGGTGGCAAGTCCATTCCTTCACTGGCATTAGAGCCTACTTCTTTGGAATTCTGGTGTCTATAGCTGAGACATCCAGTCTTGTGGACTGAACAACTACTAGATTCTTGGACCTTCTGTTGGTAGACATCTATTAATGGGCTAGACAGACCACAGACTGTAAGCCATTAATCTCACACACACACACACACACACACACACACACACACACACACACACACACACACGTGTGTGTGTG